ACATTCAGTCTATCTACAGATGAAAAGTAGTGTAAGCATCTGTCACAGATATGTTTTTTACATTTCTTTTTAGATAATTGTTTCGATACAAGTCGCGATAGATCTTTTATCCATACATAATGAAAATTCATAAAATCACCTTCATCACATATTACATTCTCTTCAACACTCTCATCTGCATACATGTCAGCTACGTATAAGAGATTCACATGTTTATCTCTTTTTTCAGCAGAGAGATGAAGGGGATGTGTTGTAAAGTCCCCATAATATTTTGATAAACCATAGACGTTAATCGAAATATTATTTAACTTTTCAAATTTTGAGACATTTTTCAACGTTACTGGGAAATCTATACCGTCAAAATTTAACTCATTTTCAAATTCTTTATAATTCGAAACTCGATCATTTCTCACTACATTTGGGTGTAAGGCTGAGAGTACCGCCCACTTAAAACACTCATTATCTTTGTTTTGCACGTTAATACAGGCTTGTTTTCTTTTAATTTGTGAGGGTAGATCAATGTATGAGCTCGCACGCATCGGATTATACTTATTTACATTGATTTCAAGCTTTATAATTGACTGTAGGTTCCAATTTGAACCTTTGGCGTAAAACTCTTCAACACTATGTAGAATCGGCTGTTTAATGTACTGCTCGAACCAATCATCTAAAAGGGTCGTAGGGAAGATGTTGTTGGCCTTGGTTCCAAAAGGAATCGGCTTTACAACTTCTTTGTCATTCTCCACCCTCTTGAAGTTTGCGATGAGTACGCCGTACACGACGATGGGTCCATTCTTATTTAAAGCACCTCTAATATGGTCTTGAAACAGTGTGGACCCATCGTCTAAAAACGCGCTTATATCAATGTGTACAAGATTTAGAATCACATTAGTGTACAGTCTACACGCAAACGCACTCTCACATTCTTCCCAGCGCACACGTTTATTTATATCTGGATCACCGATTCCAGCGCCATCTACAATATGGGACTCAAATAATGCGCGAAGTCTAATGATGGATTGTAGAATGCTCACACATCTTTTCTTTTGATGTGTAAAGTACATCGACTTGAGAATGCTCGATAACACGTTTTCATGTTGTGAGCATTCTACAATCCATCTCCCAACGAATGAACGTCTTAAATTGACGTCGTCTAAAAGAGGAATCAACTCTAGAGCCTCCTGGATGAGAGTAATAGTTACGTCACTCTCGTCGAGAATAGTACCGTAATTCGGATACTTACGTGGTGGTCCATCGGTGGTCGTCGCCTTCCGCTTCATCTCTGCACCTGAAATTACACTTACAAACTAACAAAAAAGAATAAAGAACACACTTACAAGCTAACAAAAGAACACACTTACAAACTAAAAAAAGAACACACTTACAAACTAACAAAAGAATGAACTTACAAACTAACAAAAGAATGAACTTACAAACTAAAATACTTATACTAAACAAAACGAACTTACAAATTAAAAAACTTAACCTACAAACCAATACAAAGTAAATGCAATAAACACAGTAAATGTAACAAAAAAGACAGTAAATATAACAAAAAAGACAGTAAATATAACAAAAAAGACAATTAGTAATGGCAAGGGGAATCTGCTGATGCTGCTGTTGGAACCGCTGAATCTGTGAACAGAACAGCTACTGACTAAACTCGCCAAAATCCCTGAATATATACCCCGAAATCCCCACTCCTACCTTTCACGCATGCGCACTAGACCATTTACCCTCACTCCAACCTATCACGCATCCCTACTCTTAAATTTTCCCCCACCTATTCACGCATGCGCAACACTCTTACTCTAACGCAGTCGTAACAATTTCTATACAGGATACGCAAAATAAATATACTAATTTACAAAAAAATAAAAAATTTATTGATTATTAAAAATAAAATTCAGAGTTAAATTTAAAGTTACGCGCCGCCGTCGATGGCAGCGACGCCGACCGTGAGCGGGCGGTGGCTGGGCCTCTGGTGGAGGTCCCGCCGGCTCTCTCTCCTCTACCCTGGGCTCGGGAGACTGCGCCCTGGGTATCGGTGACCTACACCGTGGCGGACTTCCTGGCGGGGTTGTAGGCAACCATTCCACCGGTGTAGGCGACCTGGGTGGAGTCCCCAACTGAATGAAGGGTGGGGGAGACTCCGGTTCTCTCTTTGGTTGAGGTGTCGGTGACCTGGACAGTGGTGTCGGCGGCCTCTCCACCAGCATCCACGGCGGTGAAAATGGACGCCACTGGAGTGCCATCTGATGCAGAGGTGACAGCTCTGGCGACGGAGGTTGACGTTGGCAGAACCCTCTGGGTGGTGACCCTGGTGGTGTTTTGGGCAGCGGTACTTCGTTACCTTCATTCTGTAACTAAAGAAAGTATACTGTACTATACTATTTTATAGTATATTATATTATACTTACATTGTACATGGAGACCTTCCTCATGGTGCACTCGTAGCAGTTACAGCTCTCCATCGTCGAGCGCTCTATGCCTCTCCGCGATCTGGAATGAGCCAGAGATGCCATTGGGCGGAGGAATTTCACCCCCACTCTTGCACCATTTTACATTTAAGTCAATGTAAAATGGCGCAAGAGTGGGGATGAAATTCCTCCGCCCAATGGCATCTCTGGAATGAGCTCTCTACTGCGTGCTAGTCACCCTCGTAGGTCTCTCTCCCCGCCAAGCGGTTCCCCCACTACGCGCGCTCACCACTCTGCTACATGTGGTGGTTGACTCGAACTACTGTGAGCTCACCGCTGATAACAAGCTCACCGCCGGTAACGCGCGAATTTTAAATTGAAATATTTTTTCTTATATTTATAATAAATTAATTCATAACTAATTTGGATCCAGTAAATTATGCACATAATATTATAAAATAGTTTTGAATAATATGTAGTAACAAATATTAAATAAACTACAAACAGTATTATATATAACATAAATACTAAAAAATTATTAGAAATTATTAAACTTACCTTAATTAAGTCAAGTAGATTATATTAAATAAAAACTTTTTTTATAAATATAAATTCATTAACTTAAATAAAGTCTAATTTTATTAAATTTGAAGTAAAAATTAAGTGAATAAAAAATTTAAGGTAGTGAAAGTTGGATTTAATTGTTATAAGTGAAATTTAAATATTATATCAATTTTAAATTACAGACAAATCAATATTAAATTAAAGTGAAGCTAATAATAAAATAAACAAAAAAAAGAAAATAAATATAACACATGTAAAATAATATATAACATACGCAAAATGAAAATATAATATATGTTAATTAAAAATATAATATATGAAAAATATATTCAGAATAAAAATATAGCACATGCAAAATAATGTACATAACACAGTTAATTAGAAAAAAATAATTGTTTACTTTCATAAAATTGAAAAATATATATAAAACATAAAAAAGCTTTTCATTATATATATATATATATATGTAATTTCACTATATATAATATTGCAATTTAAAACAAGTATAATAATCATATTACAATAATCAGACTAATACATTTTAAAAATGTAACAAAATGTTTTCTAAAATATAAAATAATAAAATAAAAAAAATAATGAATAGAAAATTATAGTATATAACTAATACCGTTAAAGTACATAACCACACAAAAATAAATAAAAAAAATATCAAGTATAATATATAAATATTGAAAATTAAGACAGTATCAAGCAATAAAAAAAAGTAAACAAAAAAAAATGAATAATAAAAATGTTTCAAATCGGAAAGTACTTTAACGGTATTAGTTATTTGAAAAAGTTTCTCTTACTTGAGAAATTCACTTCAAGCAAAGTTAAAAATAAAAAATGAATGGTTACTTTGCTACATACTTTAAACATAAAAGAAAATTTTCTAAAAATAATGAAAAAAATAAAACAAAAAAATAATGAAAAGTAAATTATAGTATATAACTAATACCGTTAAAGTACATAACTACACAGAAATAAATAAAAAAATATCAAGTATAATATATAAATATTGAAAATTAAGACAGTATCAAGCAATAAAAAAAAGTAAACAAAAAAAATGAATAATAAAAATGTTTCAAATCGGAAAGTACTTTAACGGTATTAGTTATTTGAAAAAGTTTCTCTTACTTGAGAAATTCACTTCAAGCAAAGTTGAAAATAAAAATGAATGGTTACTTTGCTACATACTTTAAACATAAAAGAAAATTTTCTAAAAATAATGAAAAAAATAAAACAAAAAAATAATGAATAGTAAATTATAGTATATAACTAATACCGTTAAAGTACATAACCACACAGAAATAAATAAAAAAATATCAAGTATAATATATAAATATTGAAAATTAAGACAGTATCAAGCAATAAAAAAAAGTAAACAAAAAAAATGAATAATAAAAATGTTTCAAATCGGAAAGTACTTTAACGGTATTAGTTAATTGAAAAAGTTTCTCTTACTTGAGAAATTCACTTCAAGCAAAGTTGAAAATAAAAAATGAATGGTTACTTTGCTACATACTTTAAACATAAAAGAAAATTTTCTAAAAATAATGAAAAAAATAAAACAAAAAAATAATGAATAGAAAATTATAGTATATAACTAATATCGTTAATGTACATAACCACAAAGAAATATATAAAAATATTAACTATAATATATTAATATTGAAAATTAAGACAGTATCAAGCAATAAAAAAAGTTAACAAAAAAAATGAATAATAAAAATGTTTAAAAATCGGAAAGTACATTAACGATATTAGTTATTTGAAAAAGTTTCTCTTACTTGAGAAATTCACTTCAAGCAAAGTTGAAAATAAAAATGAATGGTTACTTTGCTACATACTTTAAACATAAAAGAAAATTTTCTAAAAATAATGAAAAAAATAAAACAAAAAATAGCAAAGTTGAAAATAAAAATGAATGGTTACTTTGCTACATACTTTAAACATAATAGAAAATTTTCTAAAAATAATGAAAAAAAATAAAACAAAAAACTAATGAATAGAAAATTAACTCCTCTTTTTCGAGGATGCGGTTGCCAAGACTCTCTCTGCCTTTGACAAGCGTCGACATTTATTTTTTCGAAGAGGATGAGCATTGATTTGAATCGTACGTCTAGGAGCTGGCACTGGTGGCAATTGTCGTGGCGCTGGTACTGCTGGAGCTCTTGGAGCTGGCACTGGTGGCAATTGTCGTGGCGCTGGTACTGCTGGAGCTCTCGGAGCTGGCACTGGTGGCAATTTTCGGAGAATTCGTGTAATCCGGCGTCGTGGCGCTGGTACTGCTGGAGCTCTCGGAGCTCTCGGAGCTGGCACTGGTTGAGCTTTCGGAGTTTGCACTGGTGGCAATTGTCGTGGCGCTAATACTGCTGGAGCTCTCAGAGTTGGCACTTTTGGCAATTGTCGTGGAATGTGCGCAATCCGGCGTCGTGGCGCTGGTAGTGGTACTTCTTCCAGTATGGGTAGTTTTTGGTCTATCAGACCAACCGGTGGCGTTCTAATAATTAATGCTGGCTGAGTGCGGGTGCGGATATAATTTCCTGCAGCCTCAGTTAAATCATTGACAAATGGAATGGGTTGGTTTGGAGCGACTATAACCTCCTGTTTTAATTCCTCCATTGGCCTTATGATATCATCCTGACCTATTGGTATTGGGATATCATCTAGGATGATATCCTCCAACAGAATATCATCCATCCCAAGTACCTCCTCTATGAGATTTTCCGGAATTTCTCCTAAAGGATTGACTGCAGGGAGCTGATCCCACCTGCTTTGTGGTTTGATAAATAGATCTGGACGTTCTGGATCATAAATTTCATTTTTCATTTTTTCCAGATCTATATTTATTTGATTCTGAAAATTATATTATATATTAATACATATAAAACATATTTTTACTTATTTTTAATAAAACAGTGAGAATATATGATTTTTTAAATGTTTATTAATTATAAATTGTTTATTATACTTTGAGCATTCACACTAAAAATTTTTTATTGTTTACAATCAGTTTATAGTTTTGAATAAACATTTTTCAAACGTCCAGAAAGGGTGATTTTATTTTTGTAAACCTGTCAATACTTAAATAAATAAATCAAGAAAAAAGGTTTATTCAAACTATAAACCAATTGTAAACAATAAAAAAATTTTTTTTAAGTTATAACTTTGGATAAACTAAATATAATTATAAGTTTTAGAATAAGATAAAGTCTAATATTTATAATTTAAAATCACTTTAAGTTGAACTTTACATTCAAAAGAATTTTCACTTATAAATTTCGCAGGTTAGGTTAGGATCCACTCAAAAGTCTCAAAGAGAAAACATAAGATTAATAAAAATGTTTTTTAAAAAACATTTTAATTAATTTAAGGTTGGAATAACAAATTAATAATCACTTTACACCAAACTTTACTCACGTTTTCTCGCTGCAGCTGACGGAAGCGACATTTCTCATTGCTGCAGAAACATTTTATTATCATATTTGACGGATCCTAAAGAAAAAAAACAAAAATTTATTTATAAAATGATTCTATAATACGATTATAATGATATTAATTAAATAAGTATAGCGTACTCACCATGATTAAAATATTTTTACTATGAAACAAAATGCATTAATTTCTATCACTGTTCTATTTGTGGTTAGGGTTAGGTTAAGTATAGACATTAGGCTCAGGGGTGGGATAGTTAAAAAAAGGTTTTCATAAATATTACTATAATTAAAGAATTTATAGCAAGATAAATAATTAATCTGTATATTTTAAATTACTTTTAAGTTGAAAATTGAATATAGAAAATTTTATTACAATTTATTTAATATGAAAGTTAAAAATCCCGCCACAAATTAAAATAGTAGAAATTTCAGTAAAGTCCAATCTTGAATAAATAAATAAAATTGAAATAAAATTTAACTTTAGATTTATACATTAAATTATAATACTTTTAATATAAATATACAATCAAAATTTGTAATAATAAATATTTTTCTTATAATTTTTATTGTTGAAGTTGAATAATTTTTTACTAAAAGAATAAACCAATGAGAGACGTCCACTTCTTTTAGGACTGAAGGAACATCGATTTGAAGGTATCGCAATTGAATTTTTTCTTTGGCGCGAAATACAATTTGAATTTAAAATTGTATATTATTATGTTTGGTAATATATTATAAAATAAATATGATATATATAAGAAAATAAATATAAACAGTTATAAATAATAATTATTATTAAATAAACTATAAGCTGTACAATATAATATATAATATACACTAAAAAAATTTATAAATGATTAAACTTACCTTAATGTAAACAACTATAGTAGATTGATTATAAATAAATAATTGATTGATAATATAAATAAACCAATTATAATAAATTGATGATATTACACATATAATATTTTTTATAATAAATAAATAATGGAGCTATGTTTTCTACACTCAAACCGCACTCTGTCGGTAAAACAAAATGGCGGCTCACTGTTTAAGCAGTTTGAATTTTTCAAATAAATTTTTAAATTTCCCGCCAAGCAAGTTTGAATTTGCTAGTGGCGCCATCCTTCGGCGGCAGCCAGAACTAAAAAAATTGGTTGGTAAAACAGAGAGCCCCCTTCTAAGCCACGCGAAAGTTTGAAATTAAATTTTTAAATTTCCCGCCAAGGGGTTTGGAATTTGTAAGTGGCGCCATCTAGCGGTGGCAGCAGGAACTACCCTCGGTCGGTAAAACAGAGAACCCCTACCAACCACTGATAAAGTAGAAATCTGCATTACCGACCGAGTTTTTTTTTTCGATAATCAAAATTTAAATTGCTCTAACTTTCTCCCTAATTATCCAATTATGCCCATTTCTGGATTTACACTCCAGGGGACTGTATAAACTCAGACCTATAAGGGCGTCATGAAAAAAAATTTTTTTGCATTTTTTTTCATGCTAAATTTGCACACATATTTTTTCTTTTTAATAAATTTTTTGAAATTTTTGCTCTAACTGTGTCCCTACTTATTCCATACGGCTCATTTTTTCCCATACACTTCTGCTATGTTTAGAAAACCGAATTTTTTTCGGCAACGTGAAATAAAATTTTTTCTCAATTTTTTTCAATTTTTAAAAAAAATTTTCAAACATTTTTTTTTGATACTAAAATTACATCTGGTGAGTCCCAGAGATGCTCCAGTTCGAAAGATTTTAAGAAATATCATTTAGGTAAAAAAAAAAAATTTTGAAAAAATTTCGAAAAATGACGTCACAATCCTCAAAATCGCCCAGAAATGGGTGATAGATCAGGCCATTTTTGAAATGCAAAAATGTACTTAACGTTTACCCATCTTTAAATTGCTATAACTTTTTTTCTAATAATCCGATTCGGCTGATCCTACATTTTTCTGACTCGTTAGGCTTTTCTACAAAAAATCTCTTTTGGTGAAAATTCTGTAGACACATTTTTTATGGTTTTTTTTGCAAAACATGCCAAAAATTGGCGTTTTTTCAACCCTTAAATTTTGAGTTGTTTCGAAGCCTTTTTTTGACACATCTCCATTTTTAAATTGCTATAACTTTTTTTCTATTCATCTGTTCTGCCTCAGACTACGTTTTTGTGACTCGTTAGGACTTTCTGCAAAGAACCCTCTTTGTGCGAAAAAAGAAAAAACATTTTTTTTTTCTTTTTTTGCAAAACATGACAAAAATAGGCTGAAAAATTTGTGAATTTTGAGGGGTTTGCGCCAACTTTAAAATACTCTAACTTTGTCCCTAATTTACCGATTTGACTCAGACTACGTTCGCCAGACTCGTTAGGACTTTCTGCAATGAACCCTTTTTATGTGAATTCTCTAAAACAAATTTTTATTCCTTCTTTTGCAAAAAACCTTTTTGAAAATTTGTGTTTTTTCAATAATCAAAATTTAAATTGCTCTAACTTTCTCCCTAATTATCCAATTATGCCCATTTTTTGGATTTACACTCCAGGGGACTGTATAAACTCAGACCTATAAGGGCGTCATAAAAAAAAATTTTTTTGCATTTTTTTTCATGCTAAATTTGCACACATATTTTTTCTTTTTAATAAATTTTTTGGAATTTTTGCTCTAACTGTGTCCCTACTTATTCCATACGGCTCATTTTTTTCCCATACACTTCTGCTATGTTTAGAAAACCGAATTTTTTTCGGCAACGTGAAAAAAAAATTTTTTCTCAATTTTTTTCAATTTTGAAAAAAAAATTTCAAACATTTTTTTTTGATACTAAAATTACATCTGGTGAGTCCCAGAGATGCTCCAGTTCGAAAGATTTTAAAAAATATCATTTAGGAAAAAAAAAAAATTTTTTGAAAAAATTTCGAAAAATGACGTCACAATCCTCAAAATCGCCCAGAAATAGGTGATAGATCAGGCCATTTTTGAAATGCAAAAATGTACTTAACGTTTACCCATCTTTAAATTGCTATAACTTTTTTTCTAATAATCCGATTCGGCTGATCCTACATTTTTCTGACTCGTTAGGCTTTTCTACAAAAAATCTCTTTTGGTGAAAATTCTGTAGACACATTTTTTATGGTTTTTTTTGCAAAACATGCCAAAAATTGGCGTTTTTTCAACCCTTAAATTTTGAGTTGTTTCGAAGCCTTTTTTTGACACATCTCCATTTTTAAATTGCTATAACTTTTTTTCTATTCATCTGTTCTGCCTCAGACTACGTTTTTGTGACTCGTTAGGACTTTCTGCAAAGAACCCTCTTTGTGCGAAAAAAGAAAAAACATTTTTTTTTTCTTTTTTTGCAAAACATGACAAAAATAGGCTGAAAAATTTGTGAATTTTGAGGGGTTTGCGCCAACTTTAAAATACTCTAACTTTGTCCCTAATTTACCGATTTGACTCAGACTACGTTCGCCAGACTCGTTAGGACTTTCTGCAATGAACCCTTTTTATGTGAATTCTCTAAAACAAATTTTTATTCCTTCTTTTGCAAAAAACCTTTTTGAAAATTTGTGTTTTTTCAATAATCAAAATTTAAATTGCTCTAACTTTCTCCCTAATTATCCAATTATGCCCATTTTTTGGATTTACACTCCAGGGGACTGTATAAACTCAGACCTATAAGGGCGTCATAAAAAAAAATTTTTTTGCATTTTTTTTCATGCTAAATTTGCACACATATTTTTTCTTTTTAATAAATTTTTTGGAATTTTTGCTCTAACTGTGTCCCTACTTATTCCATACGGCTCATTTTTTTCCCATACACTTCTGCTATGTTTAGAAAACCGAATTTTTTTCGGCAACGTGAAAAAAAAATTTTTTCTCAATTTTTTTCAATTTTGAAAAAAAATTTTCAAACATTTTTTTTTGATACTAAAATTACATCTGGTGAGTCCCAGAGATGCTCCAGTTTGAAAGATTTTAAAAAATATCATTTAGGAAAAAAAAAAAAATTTTTTGAAAAAATTTCGAAAAATGACGTCACAATCCTCAAAATCGCCCAGAAATGGGTGATAGATCAGGCCATTTTTGAAATGCAAAAATGTACTTAACGTTTACCCATCTTTAAATTGCTATAACTTTTTTTCTAATAATCCGATTCGGCTGATCCTACATTTTTCTGACTCGTTAGGCTTTTCTACAAAAAATCTCTTTTGGTGAAAATTCTGTAGACACATTTTTTATGGTTTTTTTTTGCAAAACATGCCAAAAATTGGCGTTTTTTCAACCCTTAAATTTTGAGTTGTTTCGAAGCCTTTTTTTGACACATCTCCATTTTTAAATTGCTATAACTTTTTTTCTATTCATCTGTTCTGCCTCAGACTACGTTTTTGTGACTCGTTAGGACTTTCT